ACCAGGGAGCGCACGTCTTCTTCACCTCCACCTGTCCGGTGGAGCTGCTAAAGGAGCTGGGACAGAGCAAAGCGGCCCGCTACATTCACACGCTAGTGGAGATCAACACCGCCTTTGTGCCCTACGAGACGCAGGTCTTCTCGTTAGATTGCACTGCGGACATGTTTTCCGCCCTCTTCTCCTCGACGAAAAGCGCTCTGGAGGAGTGCGCCGACCACCTGGCGACGGTCTGTGCCACGCTGGGCGAATTGCCGAAGATTGGCTTCCGCAACGACGACCAGGGACTGAATATTCGCTTTGCCACGCTGGTGCAGCAGCGGCTAGAGCAGTACAAGGCCATCGACGGAAAGGAACTCAGAGAGGTAAAAGCTTTTGAACTTATTTTTTCCAAAAACTAACCGTTTTGCTAAAACAGGGCCACTCTCAGCTGCTGATCATCGACCGCGGTTTCGACTGCGTCACCCCAGTCATCCACGACCTCACCTTCCAATCGATGGTCTACGACCTGATGAAGGTGGAGAATGACGTGTGGACGTACCGACCGGAGAGAGGCAAGTCAGGCGAGGAACGCCAGCTGCTGTTCAGCGAGAACGCCGAACTGTGGGAGGACTTTCGCCATAAGCACATCGCCGTCGTCAATCAGCAGCTGCCGGCGAGGGTGAAGGCTTTCAAGGAGGAAAACAAGGTGATGGAGCAAGCTGGGACAGGAACGGGTGAGCGGGCGGACATGAAGGCGCTGGGGGAGATCGTGAAGAAGCTGCCCCGCTATCAGAAGGAGAACGCCAAGTACTACTCTTTCTTCAAGGTGACGGAGGACTGCATGCGCCGGTACACCACCTACGTCAACAAGATGTGCCTGGTAGAACAGGACATTGCCATGGGCAGCGACGTGACCGGAGAGCGCTTGACGGAAGCGACCATTCCCAAGCGCGTTTTCCCCCTCTTTCTCGACCCGAATCTGGAGACGCAGGACAAGGTGCGCATCATCCTCCTCTACATTCTCTCAAACAACGGCATTACCGAGGAGAACCTGGAGAAGCTGCTGACGCACGCGGCCATTCCTGAGGCTGACCGCCGCATCATCACCAACCTCAGCAAGTTGGGCATTGACATGGACCCGACAAAGCAGAGGAGCAAAGCAGGCCAGAACAGCCAGGCCTATCCACGGAGAAATCGCATCACTGACCAGACCTACGACACCGCCCGGTGGACACCGGTCGTAAAGGACGTCATTGAGGACGCCATTGCCGACCGGCTCAGTCCCGCCCACTTTACCTATCTTTCGAATGCGGAGAATGGTGCTAAGCCGGGAATGCTCTCCAAAGCGGCTCCCAAGAGTCTTCGCTTTGGCGGAGATCAAGTTAAAACGACGGGTAGTGCACTACCTAATGGTAATGGTGGTCAGTCTTCAATCAAGAACAGTCGGCTGATTGTCTTTCTCCTCGGTGGTGTCACCTTCTCGGAGATGCGATGCGCCTATGAGGTGTCCAGGGCCGCCAACTCCTCCTGTGAGGTGATTATTGGTGAGTTGATCAGAGTGAAGTATGTTGGAGATTTTCTAAAGTGTTCTTCTTTCTTTTTAGGATCTGACCAAATAATGACGCCGGCGAGCTTTCTCGAGAACATGCGCCAACTGAACTAATTGTTGCTGTTTTCTGCTCTTTGTTCTTTCACCCCACTTCATTCCACTCTTTNTGTTGGAGATTTTCTAAAGTGTTCTTCTTTCTTTTTAGGATCTGACCAAATAATGACGCCGGCGAGCTTTCTCGAGAACATGCGCCAACTGAACTAATTGTTGCTGTTTTCTGCTCTTTGTTCTTTCACCCCACTTCATTCCACTCTTTGCTGTGCAACTGTACTTTTTAAATAGCTTCATACATGGCCGCCTTTTTTTACGTTGAATTTAAAACTTCAACTTTTGCAATATCATTTTTTACTATAACTCCGAGTTGATGTTTCATTGCTTCAATAACAAATTTTTTCTTAAAACTGGCGTAAAACCACTAATGCATTTTTGAGAAATGGGCATCATTTTCGATTTTTGAGCACTACTTTACATTTGTCAGGCGCCTCCCTTTGTGCACAATAAAGAAGTTGCCGGAAAATGAGAAGAAAGATAAAAGATGTTCAGAATCTCCCAAAGGATTTGGTTCAGATTTTTGCCGCAAGAATGGAACTACCTCTACCACAGGCAAAAATGAATCCAAAATGGCCGACTATAAAAAGGGGAGCCCCTGTTTTCAGGAAGCCCACTAACCTAGTGACCGTGAATTTGAACGACACACTTTCCAAACACACTTCTCAGCATTCTCATCTTCAACAATGGAAAACAGCGCCAGCACCATACAGCAGCACAACTCGATTCGAGTGATCAGCAACGACCAGGCCACCTTTCGGGTGCCACTTGAGCTGGCCGCTCTCTCCGGCTACCTGAAAGCCTTTGTGGATCTGTGCGAGCGGGACAGTCTGCACCAGGTGGAAAATCCCATTCAACTGAAGAAGATCGACGGCCGAACACTGGAGGCAGTCTTTGACTGGATGGCTCGTCATCGCCGTGAGCTGGAGGTGGCCACTCTTCGTGCCCAGATTAGCTTTGGCTTTTGGATGGACAAACTGCGTCTGGCTCGTTGGGATGAGGCACTACTTCGGCCGATGGACGTCCACAGCCTGTACAGTCTGCGAGACGCTGCTCACTTGCTGCGTGTTGAGAAGCTGAAGAAGACGGTGGAGAGGCAGATTCGACGTCGTTTTGGTACGGTTGAAAAGGTGGCATTCAATGACGACGACGAGAACAATGTCAAAAAAGTTACCTTTGATCTGGTGCATTCGTAAACTCACTCCGAAAAATTGTCTGTTTTTAAGCTGCAAAGAAAGCATAGATCAACTTTAGAAGTATATTTTTTCCTCTAATAATTCTGCAGCAAGTTTGATTCTTCAATTTCACCAAGTTTTTATTTTAGTAATTAGCAATGTGCTAATTGTTCTTGCTGATGTTTGCGGTATTTTAAAAATTGTCTAAAGTAGATAAGCAAAAATGTGCTTTTAAAAGCTTTTCAATGTTTTTGTAGAAACAAAAAATAGTTTACAAAAATAAACAGCCAAAGAACAAACTTGGTCACATTTCCCAGCAGGGAATTGAGAGCACATCCGTCCTATCTGGTGAGGTACCATCAGAACAATAGACAATCCAAGCACAATCCTTGAAGCACCTCCATTCTATTGTTTGGTTTTACATAAATTTGCATTTTCATGATTCTTTTTTTTGCTCATGCGGTCAAATAGTGGAAGACCAAGGGAGTTAGTGGTAGCAAAGTGCAGCCAGAATCAGCAAAAAATCAGTGGAAGCACTTAAAGGTAGCGCAAGATATGCCTCTTTGCATTGGAATTGCATTTGAAACCGATTTTTTTCAAATCTAGCCAAGTGTCTGCCATCTAGGAAAGGAAGACGGCAAACATGAGAGATGAACCCGGCTGTCAGCTGAGAAAAACAGTCAAAAAGCGTGCACACTGTTTTGGATCGGCACATTTTCTTTTCATTTCTTGTCGGCGCCTCTTCTCGGCCTCTGTTCTCACACATTGCTGTTTTCCCACATTCGCATCAACCCATCAAATCAAGACATGGCCACGCCGATCTCACACGAGAAAAAGTTCAGCATGGGCCTCGCCGAGGAGATATTCAGCATCGAGAACTGGGTGATCACCACCCGACGCAGTCACATTCTCAACTCAAAGTGCACCAGTCCGGCGGTGTGCGACGCAACTCGACTCAAGTATCGCCCGGCTGATCAGCCACCTTCAGCCGAGAAGGTGACAGCTGCCGATGACGACACTTCCAAAGGTAGTGCTGCTCCTGCTGGTGGTGATGATCAGCAGCAGCCGGCGCATTCTTCACTGCAACAGTTTGGCGGCGCCGAGCATGGAACGCCGCGAAAGACGCTCGAGCAGGTGAAGCAACTTAAGGCGACCATCTACGGTGAGCCGAAACTGTGCCTCTTCTGCAAGTTTGACCTGATCCTCGAGATGGCCCACTTTCCCGACATGACCTACGCGCAGAACGTCCTCGAGCTGCGCCACCGACCATCAGGACTGGTGGTGGAGTTCAACGTGCTCGACTCGCTCATTCCCGTCATCGTCAACTGCACCGGTCTGCCCACCGGCATGAAGGTGTCACCCTCGGAAGCCTGGCTCCGGGCGCGACTCGACTGCGAGTACACGAAGAACGTCATGAACGCCGACTTTGACTGGACATTCACCACCGACTACGAGGGATCCTACAGTTTAAGCAGCTCCACTTTGCCTGCCGCCTTCACCCAGCCGACCACGGAGCGCATTGACATTGAGAAGCTGAAGGTTCGCGACACGATTCACTTCTACGAAGAGGTGGACCTCTTTGAGGACGAGCTGGCCGACCACGGCATCGCCAAGTGCAATGTGAAGATCCGCGTCATGCCGGACTCCTTTTTCGTCCTGCTGCGATTCTTTCTGCGCGTGGACAACGTCTTTGTGCGCTTCCACGACACGCGAATGTACCACGAGTTCGGGAAGCCGTACCTCCTCCGAGAGGTGACCCGCCGCGAGGCGCCCATTCCGGAGCTGGCGCTGAAGGAGGACGAAGCGCCGCACCTGCTGGTGTCGCCTGCCGAGCTGTACAGCCACGTACCGGAGCTGTCGCTGCGGGTCGAGAAAATCATGCTATCAGAAGGAGGCGCAGCAGCAGGAGGAAGTGACAAATGAAGTGCAATGAGCATGTGTGATTTTTATTTCTGAAAAAGACGGAGAAGCCGATATTTTTATTACAAAGCGGATTTACACTAAATAAATTAAATTGTGCATGGAGAGGATAATACCAGAAAGGAGTTGAGTTGGAAATGAAATGAATGATGAAGTACTGGGGGGAGTTGGAGGTGACTTGGAGCGCCTATTCTCTCTTGACCACTTCTTTGTCAGCCGCAGCCGCCGGTGTCAACCGATCAGTGTGCTCCGCCTGCAGACGGGCGGTCATTTTGTTTTTCAGATTACTGGACAGCTTGCTCAGCTCGTCGTTGAAGTTGGTGATGATCGCCTGAAACTGCTCCACATCGCCGGTGTCCCAGTGAGACAAAGATCCGCCGTTGGCAGTGGCCGTGGCCGCCGGTGAAGTGCCATTGACCGCCCCGGTGGCGGTGGTGACGCCCTGGTCGGCGGCGGCGGCAGCAGCAGCGGCGGAACTGCCCTGGTCAAGCTGCTGCACCAGCTCACCGATCTTCTTGAAGGCAAAGCCGGCGGCGTTGAAGATCTCCGCCACATTGGAGACGGTCACCAGGTCGGCGTTGGTCGCAGCCGGCTTCACCGCCGCCACCGCGGCTTCGCTGTTGTTTTGTTGTGGTGGATGTTGTTGCGTCGCAGACATGCTGTTTTCCTCCTCCTGCTGTTTTTGGGAACTGCTGAGGTGTGATGAAAACTGAAAACTGACACTTGATCTGAATTTGGGGAAAACACTGTTGTGCAATTATCGCGGGGTGACAAACAGGTTCGGTCACGGAGTGGTGGTAATGGTGGTGATGATTGGAAGCACAAAAATACAATGCGTCTTCGCTTGCTGCCGCTGCTACTGCTGCTGCTGAGCTGCTGCTGGCCAAATCCACCTGACCAGCACTTTTCGGTGCACTGTGCAGCCGCGAAATAGAGTCTTCGTGTTTGTGTCTCTCTTTCTTACGTCAACTTTTACCTTTGGCCCCTGCCACCGCCACCATCATCATCACCTGTCGCACTCATTGCCCCTAGGGACTGCTCAGGGAGACTGCTCCAGGAGGGGAAGTGGGCTTGTGGGGTGTCCAGTCTTGCACTTGGACTAGAGTGGCAATAGTTCACCAATGTGAAGAACACACTGACCAGCTGGCAAAGATCGTTTGTCTGCTGAAGACAACCTGTAGAAGAAGAGTGTCACAACAAAATGTCGTCAGGCTACAACAGCTGCAGCAGCAACAGCAATGAGCCGCCATCGCCGAGTTTTCCTTGTTCACCGCCGCCGCCGCCGCCGTTCTCCTCTTCTTCATCTTCAGGGCCAGGAGTTCCGGTCTTCCCCGATCTGCCGAGAATAGTGGGAGGAATAGCTGAGGAGGGCACCTTTGCCGCCTGGCTGATGCCTACCACGGAGACGACACTTCGAGTGCTGAAGCAGTACCTCGAATCGTACCGACACTATGTGGCGAAGAACCCCGTCTGGGTGTCCGAGGTCGAGTCGGCACTCTACTGGGTGTCCTACCTGTTGTCCAGTATGTTTACACCTGTTTTGTTACACACCATTTTCTAATTTGCCGTTTTTCTCGTCCCCCCCCCCTAGCAACCCGCTTTCACAACTCGCGCATCGTCTCTGAGCTGCTGTACTCGTGCTCATCGCTGCTGACACTCTTCAATGACACGCTGCTTCGGAAGTCGTACTCCATCAATCAGAACAACGTTCCGGTATGAGTTTGTGGATGCAGTTAAGATGTGTGGCTAGCTTTCAAGTGTTGCTTCATTCTCCCAGAGCGCCTATGTGGCTCACTTGCAGACCATTCTGTCGTTCATCGAGTACACGCAGGTCTTTCTTGAGCTGACGGCACTGCAAATATACGGTCGGTACGGAAAATGGATCATCATTTCAATTGTAGAGATTGTCAAGTAAGTTGTCGACGAGCTTCTAAATTATTTCCTCCAACTAACAGTTTTCCTCTAGGGCTCTGATTCGCCTTATTCTGCTGTTGTACTTCCGTCAAGGACTAGTTCGACGACAGTATCTGCTCCCGCTGAACCGGGTTCGTGAGTTTGAGCTATTCAAAATGCGATCTGCCCGAAAGGAAGAGGAGGAACGTCAACAAGAAGTTGAAGAGTTTAATGAAAACGTTGAAGTGTTGCCTAATGCCGATGAAGTGCCTGAGATTGGCGATGAGGAGCTCAGTGATGAAAACCCCAATACGGTTCCAAAAGAAGTGGCAGAGGTAGAAAAGAATGCCTTCAAGCTGCCCAGCTCAGGACGACTGATTCGCAATATTGACTCGGCACCGGAGAAGGCGAAACGCCTCTGGATAACGCCTCATCAAACAGTGAGACTGCAGCGACTTTTACAGGTATGTTTCTCGATGTTTGCGTTTTTTGTATAAATGACAACATTGCTTACTCAAAAAACAGAAACACAACCGAACTAGCCCCTCCATCACCACGCTCAACCGCCGTCGCATAATCGGCGAGCTGCTGCACATCTTCCGACCGATTGCTCACCTGGCAACCGGCGCAGTGGCCGGCGGCGTCGACAAGTGGTCGCCCTACGCGGTCTCATTCGGCCTCGACCTGCTCTCCCTTCGCCTGCTGCAGGGCAGCAACTTTGCGCTGGGGCAGAAGAACTCTGTTCTCAACCTGATCACTCGACATTCGGTCGCGACCTCCGGTGCAGCCGACGACCCCTCCGACCCGGTGGACGACGTCTGGAACTGGTCGGAGCAGGCGGAGATCCAGCGGCGCTACATGTCGCTCTTCATGTACCTCCTTCGGTCGCCCTTCTACGACCAGTACACGAAGGAGCGGCTGCTTCGTCTCCTTTCCGTCTTCGCCAACAACATTCCCATATTTGGGCGGCTCCTTCGGCCANCGCCCTTCTACGACCAGTACACGAAGGAGCGGCTGCTTCGGCTGCTCTCCGTTTTCGCCAACAACATTCCCATCTTCGGTCGGCTCCTTCGACCTTTTGTCGCCTACCTTCCTGAGTGGCAGCGAGTGTACTTCTACGTGTGGAATCAATAACCAATGTGCAAACCTCAATGTGGTGGAGTGCCTTTTTCTAAGAAGGACTGAAGCTAATCAACGAATCTCACAAGCGCAAATTCTCTTTTGCAAATCTGATTATTATCCTGGTGATGGCAATATACTCTCTCTTCCTTTTATAGATCTGGCTTCAATTATTACTATACTCAATGCAAGTGAGTGCCTTCCAAATCTTTTCTTACTTTTTTGCATATCGCTGTAAATTATTTCCGCTTTTCAAACCCCTTTTTATATTTATGCATGTAATTATTATCTTTGTTCGAAGTAAACTTTTTTTGTCAATCTGGTTTGTTGTTCAGTTCAAAACAGTTCGAATTTGATGTGGTGAGTGTGCATTTAACCGCCCCCCACCACCGTCTGGTCACCTCAAAACACTTGTACAATTGTTTGCTTTACCGTGACTACTCTGTCTTCCCATCTTACTTGTCATTCTCTTCATCATTCTCATCCATTAAATGGCACTTCATTCTGAGGCAATGTCGTCTTCTGCGGTGACCATTCTCTGCATCCTCCTCCTCCTCCTCCTGTCATTGGCCATCAGCAGCAGCACCGGCATCGGCAGCAGCAGCGAGGTGAGCGAGTGCGCCCACCGCCGTGACAGCCGCCTGAAGGGGCTGGCCAGCTGCTGTCTGCTGGTGGGCTACTGTCGCTGTCTGAAGGGTCTGTGCCACGCGGGCGATAACCAGTGCCAGGGAGAGCTGAACGTCACCTGCGGCGACTCATACCGCACCAAGTGCGACAAGTTCCACGGACCGAAGCTCTACCCGGCTCACTGCAACGGGTACGACTGGGACGTCCTGGTGCCCGACCACTGGACCGGGCCCACCGAGCCGGAGCCAGCCAGTGATAAGGGTGGTGGAGATGGCGGGGGCGGTGGTCGAGGTGGATCCGCCGGCAAGCTCACCCCCGTCATCATTGCCGGCCTGGTGGTCCTCATGCTGCTCGTCATCGTGGGCCTTGCCGCCTACTGCTGGTGCCTGGGCCCGAAGAAGAAGAAGGGCAGCAAGGAGACGCAGCAGCAACAGCAGCAACAACAGCAGCGGTCAACCGGACGCAGCAAGGCCAGGGACACCTCGAAGAAGACGAAGAAGACAAAGGGGGCGGCGGCGACGGCGGCAAAGCGGAGTGCCGCCAATGGTGGCAGCGGTAGTGAGGGAGAGAGTGCCGCCAACTTTGGCAAGAGTCGCTCCAAGGGACGCTCTCACTCGGGTGCGCCCGCTCGCGGCGGCACCAACTCAGACACTGAGAAGAACCTAAGCACCAAGCAGAAGTCGAAAAAGGGCGCCGTCGGGGCCGCCTCGAAGGCCCACCAGGGCGGCAGCTCCTTCAACAGTCGCCAGGTGCACACCGTCGACCTGAAGACCACCGGCGGTGGGAAGGGCCGCGGGGCGATGAGGTACACCAAATTTCGCAATGCTCTCAAGCCCACCAAGACGTCATGAAAGAGGGACAACTTTCTCCCCTATTCCTCTTCCTCCTTTTCCTTTCCACCCAGTTCTGCTGCCGCTTTTGTTCATTGTTTGTTGTTCTTGTTGTAATTAAAAAGTGCCTGTGTGTGCAAATGCAGATTTCGAATTCTTTCGCTTTTTGTAATCATCTGAAACAAAAGTCTCCGTGTCCTGCTGTTTAAAAACACACTTCAAACATCACCAATGTCATCAACTGTGAAGGAAAGAGCTGCTGCCGTTTCCGCCTCCTCCTTCTTCTTGAAGGCGGACAACACTGATAACTTCGAGGTGCTCCAGGACACTTCCGCCACCGCCAACACCGCCCCAGCGCTCTGTTTGCAACGAAAGAAGTCGAGCATTTTGGACCGGGAGTCCCTCTCGCAGTGCTGCAAGTGGATGCCCTACTGCTACTGCAAGGAGGTACTCTGCAACAGTGAGCAGTACCACTCACCCGAAAACCGGACCGCCTGTCTGGCGGAGCGGGACCGACCGCTGATCTGCGCCACC